CCACATGGTTCAAGAAAACTCATGCATTTTCTAAGGACATGATAAATGAAATCGGCAATCGTCAGCAGTGGATGGAAAGAAGACAACGCATGGAACCACAAGATCAATTCAGTGCGAACGCGGACCAATGGAACCACCAGCACAAAGCCCCACACAAGAAGAAAGAGAACCGTTGCCGCAACCTAGCCCAGCTGGTAACCAACTAGGGAAGAGGGACTTTTCATACGATCGGGGACTTTGCAACTATCCTTCGTATTCACCTTACACCTACTTCGCACCTTTCGTCCTATGTACTGAGTCAGATTCCCCACTACGGCTGGGATAGCGGAGGGGGGGGGGGGAGGGAGGGGATTTTTTATACGTAGGCTCCCTGTTCATCTTGACCTTTGGCAGTATGCCAGGATGCTAATATCACCACCAATTATCGATTACAACGGACACAAAAATCTTTTTAATCAAAAATTTACTAATAGATAAATAATTGTGAGGCCTACAATTGAATGCAGTCACATTTTTTGACCTTCTTTTAGGCAAAATTCTAGGTGCTTCTATTTTTTTTCCTCTAGATCATGCTAAAAGAACAATGAGATGTATTTTGTATCGTAAAAAAATTTCACAGCAAAATGCAGAATGTTCTAACATATAGCCACACTTTCATGGAAAAGGAGCGTCTTCTTAAAAAGAATTGCAGATGACTTGAATGGAAAAGAGAAACGTGAAATCATGCGCGATGTAAGATTCACGCGTAGTTTATTTTTGGCACAGACGAAATCTACAATTTTGCCTCCAGTCAATTCACTGCACTGCTGGCAGCTATTTTTATATGACGGTGTTGTTTTTCTCCAACAAAATGCTTTTCTGTGCATACAGCCTTCAAATATTTTCTTCGCGATATTGCAAAAGCTGTTCGGTGATTCGTATTTCATGATATGGAGCCAGCAGACCCATATCTGGTATAGTACCAGTACTGAATTGTTGCCAAAAGGTCAGGATATATGGGGCAATATGAAAAGTTCCCCCCCCCCCCCTTCCCTCAGTATACAAGACGCGGACATGCGAGACTTTACACCTGGCCGTAGGTGTTCACACCTCGCGCCTCAGAATTGCTCATCGTATGAAAAGTCACTCACCCCCCAACTAGGTAATCAGCCCGCCCCTCGCCGTGGGAACCCTACGAGCCTTTTAAGCAATTGCCTCTTTTATAAGGGGAACATTGGGCAACCGAATGTACGCAATACGGGGCATTATCGCAAAGGCGGCAACGGGTACGGAAACTAACAGGTGCGAGAGATGCTTGGGCAAAGCGGACCATTTGGCAACGTCCCGCCCTGACTTCAAGTTGTTTTTAATGCAGGCAAATGGGAAGGGGAGAAGTAATCTCCCACCACTCAGTATTTTGTCCGGCAGGATTCGAGTTTTGAAAAGAAATGAAAGGGAAATGAAGAAAAAGAAAAAGTTTTCGCAAAGGCAACGCAAATAATACAATTACACGTTTGGTAACGCTTCACTTGAAGTTAAATTGATTGTGCCATGTAGCATTATTCTTATGTGAGGTAGAACTTTGTTGTATTCTGTACTTGTAAGTATAATTATGCCTTGTATTATTTTGTTGTAAGGTAAAGTTGTACGATTTACTGTGAGGTAATATCATATACTCTGATGCTTAGTATGCTTAGGACTTTATGGCGGAGATTATCGAATGATGCATACAAATGCCTCAAACTACAATGCGCGCTGTGCTACATCAATAAGAATTCACGACTGAACAAAAAAATTTAAGTCTACCGTATATACATTAATCATGTGCCGTCAGTATTGGCAGTTCCTCACAGCTATGCCATTACCTTGCCAGATTACCGTAAAGGTCATGCCATAAGCTGGACCTGCTGTGATATGAGTGTGTTTATTGCTAAGATGGACGTCAAGGTACTTTGCTCCGCCTATTAACGTTAGCTTTTAGTTAACGCCTACTAACATTTTGCCACAGCATAACACATCCCAGCAGGCGCTGTTTCGCCTAAAGCTGCAATAAAGCCTAGAACCGTCGATCTACAAATTACGTAGTTGCTATGTAGCAATATCAGCTGCACTATTACGGCATAACATCACGGTAGAGATTGATATCCCTTACAAGCACATGGAACCAACTCTGAACCAAATTTCAAGGAGACTAAATAGATCGACCTTGCGAAATTCCATAGGATCCCTATCACTGTGGTGCCAGTGACAAATGAATGTATTGAAATCAGCATCAAATATTTTGAAAAAAAATTGCAAAGTTACTTTAGAACTTATTTTTATAGCAACCCTATAATGTGCCACCAGCAGCAAAAATGTACATGTTGTTATATCACATTAAGTAATTCTGCTTAGCAAAAAGCCAAGGAAGTGAAAGCTGACTATCTACCGTATATAACGTGCCGTATTAAGCTGCGGCATTTCTATACCTTGCAAAACGAGTCTCGCCGAGCTGAACTGACTTGTGCCTTTGCATTCAATATCTTCCACTTCGCACCGAATTATGGTGATGCGAGACAAATTTGCGCGAAATTCAGTGGGCGCCGCGGTTTCGTACACAAACTATGAGTAATAATCGAAGGTTTTTCAGTGATCAATGCAATCACTGCACAGCGAATGTCTTAATAATCTAGCCGCTACTTGATATTGATGACAATGTATCCTTCGATTTTTCAACGATCTAAAACAACACGAGCTAGCGGACTTTCAAGGCAGCGTCCCAGCAAAAAGATGGGTGCCGGATTTTTGTGGCGATGTTAAAGTAGGCCCCTTACCTAAGCGATGACTGAACTTCGGAACGAAAAAGGGGGTCTACCAAGCCTGAAAATTGCTCCCAAAGTGGCCCGGATCTTACGGCGGGCCCGAATACCGCCCGCACAGCGATTTCGAACTGCAAGGCTAGAACACGCATAGCGCACATAGTCATGAGCGCAGAATCCCGCAACGACTCTGCGTCTCTAACTTGCATGCACCTCATACTCGTCCGAGCGTGCCGTAAGATCCGGGGCATTTCGGGGCAAATTTCAGGCTTGGTAGACCTCTTTTTCGCTCCGAACTTCAGCCATCCCTTAGGTGGGAGTTTACTTTAACATCGCCACCAAATCCCGGCACCCATTTTTTTGCCGGGACGCTACCTTAAATCTGGTTTAGGGCACAGGAAAATTTGAGAAATTTTTTGCCACTAACAGTAAGAATAAAAACCGTTGCTGTCTTCAGAGATTGGCCGAGAAAGCTAAAATTCCTACTAAGTCGGTCAGAAAGATTGATTCCAACTCTTGTCATTTCACAGTATCTTCTCGTTCATAAGTCATGTATTATACATCAGATACGCTGTAATGGCCGTTCTCTTAATGCCCTGAAAAAATTCTTCGAACGCTGCATAGGACGTGTTTGCACTGCACAAGGTTTCTACAAAGATGTACAAAGTAGATTACCTAGTTCGTCAATGTGATGGCGGAATTCTCTACCGTAATGCTACAGTAATGAAGAACTCTCGATTAACTCTCATGTTAGGACCCTATGCTGAAGCCAGTTCGTTATATTAGGTTGTCCGGAAATTAATGCAGGTTTTGCATGTTCTCACTTCAAAGCGTCATAACTCCTTTCAAATCGCATATTCTGAAATGAGATAAAAACTGTTGTGATCAGCAAGTCTTTTTCTATCTAAGACATTTTCTTTTGTAACTGGAGCTCCAACAAGCAAATTACTGAAAACCAGAAAGTAAACAGAAATTTCTTTGACAAGGTCATACTTGGCAAGTTGGAACTCCTACCGAATATGAGTGTTCAGCCAGAAACTTCTGCAGCTTATAGCCACAGACCAGTACTACATATATAGCTATGCAGAAAATTTTTTAGAAATTTTCTGCGAAAGAAAAATTTGCGGAATCATAATTTTCCATTTTTCAATATTTCCTACACGGCTGCGATCACCGATAATTTTGATTTTTTTTATGAACTCACCAAAAATAAAGCTTGGGAGGTACCAGTTGAGATAATATCTGACTGCATTGGCTTCACTCTCCAAGCATGATGAGAGACTTTCACGGTTGCTTTCTTTGGAAAAGTCTTCTACGCCATGGAGTGGCCGCGACAATTATTCATGTTAAAGCCTCAGTTTCTCTACTCTCACAATTGTTCAAATGAAGCGCTACTATCTATTTTGTAGGTTCACTCAATATCTTGCTTCAGCTATATTATCATGGAAATATCCCTCTTGCCGAATAAGTTCAAGCCAAAATAGTGCAAAGGGTAAATTTAGTAATTGAAAGCTTCATCTTCGGATGGTTGTAGATTTTGAACAAATAAAGTTGGTCATAGAAGTAATATATAAAAGAGAGAGCATGAAGAGCTGCTTCTTTTAGTATGCGAAATTGGTCGAAAGATGCACATACACAGAAGAACGACTCTTTTGAATTTGCATTTGCAGAAACCTGCATTAATTTCCGGACAACCTAATAGTAACTAACGATTTGCTGAGACACGAAATTATCAACGTTCAAAGTTTTTTGATACATGCACAATCGCGAACTACCCATGGAATTGAGCTCAGCTTATACTCACCAACATTTTTCATTTAGTGACAGTTTCTGGATAATCGTGATTATGGAACGGTATCAAGCTCCTTGCTGCATAGTTACTACTTTTCCTAGTAAGTTCACAGTCTCCCGAATGAACTTTATTGAAAACCCATCTTTTTTTTTACACAAAGCATAATCGCACCCTCGAACATATGTAACAAATGACCATTGAATATTTTTACTTGGTTGGCGTAGTTGGCTGATGTCCAGTAAAAAGCCTAAATGATTCAACAAGTTGTATGAACTACTTACAATTAGCCATGTTTCTTAACAATGAAGGATGCTTCAGCGACATCAACAGGTGAAGCAGCTATAACAAGTCGTATCAGTAATCTTATCTTTCGAATGTTTTCAAAAACAAACACTACTGTGGGGAGTTGAGATGCAGTCAGGATCATTTTTGAAGTATCTTGTGCAGCAGTCGGGCTCAATTTGGAAGTATTCTGTGCTGGAATGGGCGACTTCAAACTGCAGCTCGAACCTTCGGACAAAATCATCTTCAGCGGAAAAAAACTCGGCGAAGAAGCAACGCCGGCAAGCATCAAGATCACCAATACGCTAAAAGAAAGAATAGCGTATAAGGTGAGATCATTGACAGAACCGGCTTCGAAGACCTATTCCACTGCAATGAAGCTTTTTAGGTGAAATGCACATCAAACGAAATGTTTCGCATTCGGCCACCGGTTGGCGCACTGAAACCGGACGATTCTGTCACTGTCTCTGTGAGTAGATTCTTTGAGTCTTTTAGCTGTTGTAACTTGAGTTTAGGAAGTTTTAGTGTGTCTATATCGTTCCTATAGGCCCCGGGCAGACTTCACGCGATTTGATCGTCGCGACTGAATCGCGACGAGACAACTGTTACAACATCATTCCATGCCGATCAACTTGCATTCGGTTGTGATAATTTTCCAGCCCGAAATTTTTGAATGTGAAATGAAAATGAATGGAAATCTTGGCGATTAGATCGCGACGATTAAGTCGCGTGAAGTCTGTCCGGGGCCATACTCAGGTAACCACCACGCGTGCTGCTTGTCGCGTTCCCGCGCGCGTTGACTTCTCTGCGTCTCTAGTCCACATTAAACGCAAGCATAATCAGCACCTTGCAATGTGGACTAGCGAGTCTTTCGAATTTGAAACCTAATTGGTAGAGTTAACATTCAAAATGAGACTGAAACCTTCTAATAATAGATAATGATAGCAAACTAATCATTGTAAACAATCTGGACTTTGCAGGCTCATCTGGATTATAAAACCAAATCTTTTATCAACAGCGAATAATTTCGTTTCAGCTAACATTTAATGCTGGTAAAACTGTTCCTGACAGCGGAAAGCATTATTTTGCAGTTTACTACATCAAAGCACCTGACGAAAAGAAAGTGAGCTGCGCTTTCTTCTATTCAAAGCTCATCAAATTATATTGAAAGTGTAGGCCCCAAGAGCAACATGGGCAGATCATAAGGGAGACCCGGAAGGAACAAAACGCCTTTATATAGATTTCAAGAAGGTAAAAATATGTTGGATTGACTAGGGATCGTTGTAGGTTACTCATGTTTTGTTATAGGAGGGTGAGGAAGAAAAGAAAGAGGAGAAGAAAGAAGAGGAAAAGAAGGAGGAGAAGAAAGAGGAAGAGAAGAAAGAGGAGAAGAAGGACGAGGAGAAGAAAGACGAGAAGAAAGATGAAGAGAAGAAAGAGGAAAAGAAGGATGAGGAGAAGAAGGAAGAGAAGAAGGATGAGGAAAAGAAGGAGGTAAGGCAAATTTCAAAAGAATGGATTTAGAAAGACTTAAGTGCGTTCTATTTCAGGAAGAAAAGAAGTGAAGTTATCTCCCACCTGAAGTTCTAGATTTGATGGCCGTCATTAAAAATTATATAAATGATGTGCATGAGTAAATTGTTTACGTGGGAATGAAGGAATTACGGCCTAATAATGTCAAATTAACAAGACTTGCATTTTTGAAAAGAGACCGGAGTAGTAATTATTTAAATATTGAAGTTCTCTGCAGCTGCTTCTATACATCTGAACTTCGATGTCAGAGGCAGACATTGTTGACTCGTACTTTTTCTTCCTCTCTACACTTCGAGTCTTAATGTATAGGTTCCGTTTATCTCTCGAAAACTAAAGAGTCATGAGCATACTCCAGGCGTTATCAGGGTCGTAGTAGGGTCGTGAGGTGTTATCATTTTATCACACGGCCCCGAATAATAGCATGTACCTACAAGAGGCACAAGAAGTCGAACGATTTGATTTACTGCTCTATCTCCTGTGCGCTCCTTCCTTATCTCTCTTGATACGTTTGTATTTTCATCTGTTTGATGAGTAGATATCCTTGTCACTCTAAACATGGACCTTCTAATGCGATATTTTTGTAACGGTTTTTACATTCTGCGATGTCGCTGGTAATGCTTTGTAGTTTGGTAGCCCCGAGTGTAACGTGATAAAGCTGTAATAGGCAAATACTCAGCTGAATGCCTTTGCATGATTTTCGCCTACGTCTGACCTTCTCCTGGCCAGTACCTTTATGAAGCTTTGATTCCGAGCATGAGAAAACCGTCAAATCCCACATTTAGCTGTGTTCTTTGCTTAGTTGAAGACGAAAAGTCATAAAAAGGTTGGGTATTGTTTGGCCTGCGTTTTCCAATTTATTTGAGTTTCCTCGTTTCCATGTGAAGAACGCCGATAAATTCTACTGCACCAAGGAATGAGCATAGGAGTAGTGATACTGCGCATAGCTTTACAATGTATCTACAATATACTGCATTCGTATATAAAATGATTATGCTCATAACAGGTAGTGCAAGCTGAAACGGGTGACAGTAGTTTTGCTTTTTTTATTCAAGTGTGAATTTTATTGAGTAAAAAAAGCAGCATACGAGATGCGAAGCTTTAGATTGCAAGTTCGTTAGTATGTTCCATACACTTTTTTCAATTCTATTTTATATCTATACATTCAAAGGTAAATCTAGAACAATCTTTATTCTTCGTGCGACTGCCTCTATCCTTTCTGTTTCACAACAAAAAACTTTATTTGTGGTCGAATTACGCAAAAACAATTTTGGTAGAATCCGCCGATTCATAATTCTCATTCTTTGAAAGTTTCTCAAAATAGATGCTCTCATGAGGTTCAGCAGGAACTGAATACCAAAAATCTGATGGGTGTCTCTCGTCTTTTTGCGAGCTTTTGGGCGGCAGGTAGTGTATGAGAAAGCAATACCGCTCGTAATTCAGCAAAATTTCGCCGAACTCTACGGAGGACACCGAATTCCGGATCGCATCGCCATATCTTAGTTCAACGTGCAGGAACTCTGAATTCAAAGGCTAGACTAAGCTCGGGAAGCGTATCTTTTGACATGTAGAAGTTTTGGTTTAGATACGGTGGGCGATCAAATTTCAAGATCTTTTAAGATTTTTGCCTACGGTATGTTCAGCTTGCAATGAACAAGCAGAATGAGTAACCTAAACTAAGCAAAAATCCAAAAAGATTTTTACAATTTGACCGTCTTTCGCGCACCTACCGTAAACCCTATATGCAGGATGTACCAAAAAATGTATTGAGCGCTTGATCTTTAACAGCTTCTTTATACGAAAAGCTTTAGCGAATTTCTGGGTGCCATACGGTAAAGCTAGCTTCAACTTAGATTTGCAGTTTAGAGCGTTACCAAATCCTCTTAGTTACGGGAGGACTATGGTAGAATTTTTCGACAAATTTTAGGCTTTTGAGAGACGAGAATTGCTTTCGAAAGATTCCAAAAAATAAAGGACTTCAAACAAAAGTTTTCGGGGATGTTGAATCTTATTATAAAACTTTCCGCTACCGTACTCCTTGCCCTTACGGTATGCGCAGTGTAACGCTGAATTTTTGGCTTTTTTCTAAAATTTTCTAAATCAAAGTTATAGTCCCAAACACGTCGAAATTAGTCAATCAAATCAATGAAATCAATTTGAGTCATCACTTTGTTTGAACCCTGAATTTGTAATTTTTTCATATTTGCAATTAATAAAGATTGAAAAAGTCTCAAAGGTGCAACTGAAATTTGCTTGAAGGCAACGTTGAGTTCTGGAAAAAAGCCAAAAATTCAGCGTTACAGTGCCCATACCGTAAGAAGCTTTGTAATTAGATGCAGCATCTTCGGAAACATTAATTTGACGTCTTTCAGTTTTTTGGAATTCTTTAAAAGCATTTCTCGCCTGTCAAAAACCTAAAATTAGTCAAAAATTTCCACCATAATCTATAGTGAATAAGACAAATCGGTGATTCGCTCTATACTGTAAATCTAAGTTGAAGTAGCCTTACCGATTGCACTCAAGGATCCGCGAAAGCTTTTATAAGAAAGTTACCAAAGATCAAACGCCCGATGCATTTTTTTAGGACACCCTGATTATCAGGGGAGAATCAAGTTCACCCACTCTGAACCACGCGCTGAAGCTGAGGCGGTAGGACACGAGTTTCGGTGAACTCCGATAGGTTCGATGGAATTTTTATTGAAAGAACTATGATCGCTACTGTATCTCTAGAAGCTTAGTGGGAAATTACCATACAAATTGTAGTTTTTCTAGAAATTTCGATCCGATCAAGATCTATTTTGCATGATATCAATGTTCACAAGATCAAATGGAGAGCCGGATCTGGTAAAATTACTCGAGTTTAGGTGAAACCTTAATCTCGCGGAAGTATTCTCGATCTCACCTCCTGTATGTTGCTTGAGCAAACTCTAGATAAGGGGGCCAATATTCGATTCTTGCTCTTCGCTATCATTACCTCCATTCGTGCTGATTAGTAGTCTTGCGCACTTCTCCACTATAAAAAAATTTTAATCACTATCACATTTTGCTGATTGAAGAGTTAGCCACTGCGCCTGTATGATCCTGACAAAATGATTTATTATTTACTAGTAGGAGTAGTATCGAAGACAATTGAAAGTGACAGGGGTGTTTTGTGCGCGCATCATTGTCATTGGCCTACTAATCCAAATAGGTTCCCACAACTTTTCTTTTTTTTTTTTCAGCATGCTCAAATCTCACAAAAAATGACCTCTCAATTCCAAACGAGCTATTTTTTGGTTCTGTGTTTGCATCAGATGAGATTTGAGCCAGCATTTGAACATGCTACGAGGTTCTAAAACCCTGCTTCTGTTGATAATCAACATTGTGCTCTGTTTGACCGCAAAGATCAGGTTGTAAACATTTTGATTCCCACTCTCTAGACAACTCGCGGAAGCTTACAAAGTTTTGTAAAAAAAGACTGATTGTAACAAATGACTTCCATGTTTGAAAGGCCTCGTTGCTCAATACTCACATCAGTCAATAAATTGCCACTTTTTAGCCAAATCTGCCCCCCCCCCCCTTCTAAACTATTATATTCTGTTGGTAACTGAAGTTTTCGGCAACTTTTTTTTCGTTGCTGAAAAATTACACGAAAGGAGGGTGTTTTGTGTATCAGTTCACTTAGTTTATATACGATTTTTTAAATGAACTGAAGTATTTAAAGACGAGCAAAATTTAGAAATTTAGAAAGCTAATGAAAATTCGAAACTGAGAAAAATTTGTTCGTCTACGGAGTGTTTTGTGAACTTTGGCACTTCCTTTAGAAAATCAAAAAAAATACGGCAAAAAACACCGCTCCCCTCACCTTTCAAATCATCTATTTGAGCTTGAACCGAAAAGCTAGAGGGCTAGATTGGAACAATGTATCATGACAGCTCTTATCTTCAACAGCTTACGCTTAATCGTGCTTCTTCCTAGCCTTTGTCTTGCGTGGTGGCATCTTTTTGCCCGCACTTCTGGTTTTCCACAATTTTCAATTTTAGGATAGTTCTTGCCAATTATATCTAGTTCTCAAAAGTTTCACCACAAGCACGTGATTAGCCATTCTCATGCTAATGCGATTTCAGCGAAATAATTGATCGTTGTTCTCTTTTGTACATTTGATGATACCGTTTTGGTCGCTGTATGGATGAGTGACTTTACCGCATTACCGCGCTGTATCTTCCTGGTTTTATTGGGTCTCTTCCTCATGTCAGCATATCTCGGTTTGAATCTCTATATCTGAGTGTGCAGAGTTATTACCGATTTGTCTTTCAGCCTATACGTAGTATCAATAAATATGATGCAAGAATTTTCACAAATTATCTCGTTTCTCACGCTCTCTATTTATAGTATACTATTTATACTTTTCTGTCTATAATACATGTGGCGATACCACAATCTGTAACACTAAAAAACACCACTTTTTCTTCCACCGATGCCTTTCCATGGAGCAGTTTGCAGCCGTAAAAAGTCAGTCGTAAAAAAATGGATGAATAGTCTGTAGCAAAAGTCAAATCCTCTTGAGCAGCTGCTTTCCTAAATAGCTTCAAACTTGAAATCCGTGAAAAAGTACTGTCTCAACTGTTATCTACCTTCTCGCTAAGCGAAGGAAAATGCTGGCTAGATTGTCATCCAGTGTTTGCTTCTCACTCTGGCAACTTGGAAAGATTAGCTGCTTTGCGTAAAATACTCTATTTGAACTGACTGAAGGGAATTCAAGGTTAGCAGAAGTGAAAAAGGATGGGAGTAAAGGCAAGCATGAAGCAACATCATGCAAATTTGCTTCCATTTCCTGAAACTTAGTTGCCTTTAAAGAGGTTGAAAGGTTATATACAACGTAAAAAAAACTTATGATGTCCAAAATTGAGGAAAAAGTTCAGGGCAGTCGCGCCACTAGCAAATGAGATTTAGCCTGGTTTTCTTCTTCCCAAAACATACATTGTGTCCCAAAAAGATGTTTGATTGTTGATAACCCTCTTGTAATGAAGTCTGTCGAGAAGCTTTAGGTGCTCCTTTGTAGAGTTGGGTTGGACTTACAATTAGATTTACAGTATAGTGAGAACCAAAAATCCCTCTTGTATTGTAGGATTACAGGGAAATTTTGAGGACGATTTTGAGTAAATAGGGGTCATATTTCACCCATAAAACAGAGCCAAAGAAGGTGAAAGCTCCTACACTATGTAGGTTAATCAGAGTCGCTGATTCCAAACATGAAAATCGCATTTCATCGTAATGCATTTTTCATAAGTTATGCCAGATATACCACAACAACCATTCCTGCCACTTAAAAATTTGATTAGGCCAAAAAGCTCTATGAAAGCGCAAAAATTTGTGTATTAGAATCAGCATGTGCATGGAAACCTTTTTGCACAGTTTTTAATTTTTTTTTGAAAATTTTTTCCAAACGGGCTATTTCACAGTGACGCCATATGCTGCAAGTTCCTACTGTGCTCATACATTGGTAGAGCAGAAGATAGATTAATTCGCTCCTTCCTGTGAATGTAAGATGAAGCCAGCTTTACAAAAGGTATTTGGAGCTTCTCGAAAGATTTTATAACAAGAGAGTCACTTACAATCAAACAGGGGCACATCTTTCTGAAACATCCTGTACTGCAATGTTGCACTTCTGCGTGGAACTCATAGTAGTCAATTCTAGTAAGCTTGTGATAGTTATAAACTGTTTCCAAATAATTTTATTAAAAGAGCGTCTGGGAAAAGAGTGATGTTATGGACAGCCTCAAAATAAATTTTTCCGAAGAATGGTGAGACAAGGGGAAATTTCGCTTTGTCAGCCTACGAAATAATGTGAAGAATTACTAATATAGTCCAAATAGACGAAAAAATCAGGAAACATCTCAAGCCATGAATCTCAGATACTTCAAGCACTTCTCAGAAAAGCTGAAAATGATTTACTCGTAGCGTATGCGACGTTAATTTTCCACTTCTTTTCATCTAGTTATTTGCTGTTGTAGCTCCTTGGTTATGGTGAAAACGCAGCGCAAACACTTTTTTTGTTTGTTCAGTCTTATGTTCCTTGGTAAGCATCGACTAATATCCTTTCATACAAGTGCACCTTTTTAGAAGATAATCAAAACAACTTCCAGGTAGAATGATTGAGTCGGATTATCCATCTGCACCTCTGGCGAGTGAGCCTTATCATGAGACGCTGCTGCGTGCGCTCAAAAAGCACTACGAAACTGGAAAGAATAAATTTGCATTTGTGAGTTGGAGTTTCCAAGGTTTTGGATAAAGCAATTCAGCAGATACTCGTTTGTAGGTAGATGGGGAGAGACCGGAACGTGGTGTGACATTCAGATTGGTGCACGATCAAGCTTATTCCATCTCCGCATTTCTTCATGAGAAAGGCTTTGGTGTGAGTAAATTGAACAACTATTCTTTGTTCGCTATGTCTAGCTTTTCTAGAAAAAATTTTGATTTTGTGGTTTTCAGAAGGATGTTGCATGTGTGGTAATCCCGAATCTCTGGCAATATGCGCCATTCTTCCTGGGAGTAGCTCTTAGAGGTGGAGCTGTTTCTGGAGCATCTGCTATGTTCACGGATTGTGAGTCGGTTGCACTAAATTATTTCAATAGTCCCTTAGATCAAGTCAGCAGTGACTTCCGCAGTGTAGAAAAACTCTACCTAAGCTTTCACTAATTTTTGTAAGGGTCATAGTCGAAAGTGCGGTGATGGAGTCAAAACTACGACTTTTTTTAAGGGCGTTACCTAGGTTCATTAACAATACAGTAGAAAACGGTTTGGCATTTATCTCTAGTCATAGGAAAAAAATTGCGAAATATTCAAAAGATAATCCGTATCTTCGGTTGAGGGCGCCTATCTGATTTGAAGAGGTCTCTAAAACATATTGAGTTAAATTAAGAAGTTTGTTGACCAGAGTGGGAGGTGAAGGAAGCTACTGTACTGGACTGGAGGTGAATCTTCAATCTCAGACAATCGCAAATGACTTCCGGGGCAAACTGAAATTCTAGATCTTCCGGGAGGACAGTCCTATTGGAGCTGGCAGGTAGGGCGAGGCCAAGTAGGGGGCGGAGAGCACCCACACGGCTCAATAGGAGCGTCCTCCCCGGAAGTTTTAGAAGTCAAGTTTGCCCCGGAAGTCTTTTACAATTGTCTGAGTCAAAAGACCTCTAGTCATTTGCACTGACAACTGGAATTCATAGTAATTGTGCAAGATAGAGCAAAAATGGTCACCTTTGGAAAAATGGCTTGAGCTCATGTGTTTATAAAAAAATCCCTTGTGTCAAAAGACAAAAATTGACTGGCCTTTGTCAGAATGCTGTCTCTATTTTTTATCGGATGTTCACTCCAATTTCGATAACTACCTCATAGTCAGATGATTGATTTCCCCTTCAACATATGATGGCACTTAATCTTCTTCAAGCTCAGGTGGGCGTCAAAGCATGTGATACGGGACGGCATATGCCAATAAACATTATGCAAAAACCTCTAATGAGTTAATTATCTGTTTGCGAACGTGACGGAGTATTCCCATCTATTTGATTCACAAGTAAACGCAAACATTATGCGACTATAAAGCTATAAGTTGGTTTTTTAGTTGAACTACAAAGGCAATTTGTTGATTCCGGAGCAAAAGTGGTGCTTACCTCAGAGGATTATCTTGAAAAGGTCTTGAAAGCAGTGAAGCAGAGCCCGAATGTTAAGGTAAGGAGTCTACATCTTATGATAATAGATGAAGCGATGAAGTTATCGATGTCAAACACAGCGCAGAGACTGCTTGGAATAACACGCATTCACGTCAATACGACCCACCGGTAGGTCGTACATGTCCTGCCATTTTGGACACTACGACCCACCGGTGAGTCGTAAGTCTGTCAGAGCAAAAAAGGCCCCTGTTTGAAATGACAAATCGAAAAATCGGCCTTGTTGCGAACGTGTCAAAGTATTATACTCGATATATATAAAAAAATATGATCAAGAATAACCTAACACAAAAAAGCTATAGTAGTCGATTGAATCTCTTTATGATTCGAAAAATTCTTACTCATCAGTTATTTTGCAGGAAGCCTCAAGGCGAATTTTACTTTTATAAAGCAAAAGGCTAAGTTTTGGCACATTTTTGAGTTCAGCAGCTTTATGGACATTCTTCATGCAGAGTCCAGAATGTGTTCTACCAAATGCAGGCATTTGTTTTTCGGCATGCCAAATCGGGGCTATTGTAGTGCGCTATAGATATGTAGACTCTATATCTTGATATTTTCGCAAATTTGAAATCTATAACATGAAGGTATGCATCTAAAGATCGGAAATGATGTAAATGAAACTAGTACAAATCGACAGCACACTGATTTTGGCTGCAGCTCATAATTAGCATGATTTCTTTGAGATGGTGATATACATACCCAAAGAGGACGACCATCCAGTCCCTGAAGGAGTTGTGAGCTGGAATAAAGTCGTGAGAACTCGCTACAATCCGAAGACTGTACCAAAAGCTGACATTGATTTGGATAAAGATATGATAATCTTACCCTACTCCAGGTAAGAGACCAACTGAAATTTTTAGAGCGAGTCTTTCAACAACACAGCCGAGTGTTTGAATACTATGAGTTGCCTATTACTGTAGCTTTCGTTTAGTGGCACTACAGGCTCTCCGAAAGGTGTTATGCTCTCTCATAGCAATTTTGGTACGATGATGAACATATACTTGAAGTGAGCGTTCTATTCATAAAAAACAAAGATTTTTCACGTTTTTATTCCCCCCCCCCCCCGCCCTGAACTATGTTCTATTCAGACACGAAGCTACTAACATTGTACCTCTCATTGCCGATGACTGGGATTACCAACGAGAAAAACTAATGCTGTTTCTCCCATTTTATCATGCCTTCGGTTTCGGTTTGTTTTCCTTCCCTGCGCTTTAAATCACAAGACGTAAAAGCATTTAGGTCTCCTCAACCTTAGCTTGCTGCAAGGCTCAACAGGAGTAGTTTTCAAGCATTTCGAACCCAATCAGTTCTGCAGAGCGATACAGGATCATAAAGTGAGCTGTTATTTTTATAACTGCTTTGCACCAAGAACGAAATTGCATACTGTAATGTAGTGCAACACGTGAGCGTAAAGTTTCTGCAAGTTTTACAGTATGCCTGCAGCTTTGAAGCCAACTCTGCAAGCTGTGAAACAGGAATATTGGAGCTAGAACATAAAATCTGACCATAAAGCTGCAGCGTAAGGATAGGAGATCCTGTATGCCGTTCTATTTTCGTTCACTAACATTATTTTTATGATGGACTAGTGAACCAGTAATCTAAAGGTGCTATTTGGTAGAGCGTTCGCTTCGGGACCCGCCGCGGTTTCCCGCTACTGGAAAATTTTTGAATTGAGCTAATGATTGTGTATGTATTACATGGGTCAAACGACATTAAGCAGTCGTTTCCGAGCTAATTTTTAGAACAGGAAGAAGTCATTCCAAATGAACTGAAGTAATTAATTCATCTACTAACAATGATAAGCTGCGATGATTTTGAACTTGCACAAAGAGACAATTGGATTCGCTGACTTCATTGCGAGAGTACACTTTACGAATGAGCGTTAATTGCTGTACTAAACAATTACAATCCGTGATAAAACAGAAAAGTGCAAAGCTTTGAGGTACTCTTGCAAGAAAAGTCACCAAGCTTTTTGTTGAAAACATCGCAAATTTTTACTAATTGTAAGAAAAGACAAAGCAAAAGATCGCCGAAAGCAATGTGGAGGGGTCCCTTTGATGGCTCAATAAGCAAAGCGGAAATATATTCATGTGTCAATATATAGGCTCAAAATTGGCTTGTTCCATGCTTGCAGAACTTTTTTTTTCACAAGGAGAAACATAAGATTATGAATTTGTGAAACCACTGTTCCAGATGCGGACGTGGGATGTTTTATTAAGATTCAACGCAAGTCTTAAGTATTGGGCGACAACAAAAACTCTATAAAGTAAGAGAAAAACGCGGTTTTGTCGAAAGTTACATGTAGAAACATTTTGTCACAGTAATATCTATAATTTTTTTGGAATGAATTCTCAATTTTAGAAGGTCAGCTTGGCTCGAACTTCGAACTAAGTTTATTTAACACGTTGACGACAGCGTGCGTTTGTTGTCTGCTTCTTGGGACAATGTCTTTTACGCATAAGTCGAAAATTTTTTAGTTAAAATTATGCTATCGTCAACAAGCTTCCAAAGTAAATGTATTTCAAAACAGCAGTCTTTTCAATGAAATTTAAGCCATGATCCACTTGGGACAATGTGACCCATCATGTCTGTCACATTGTCCCAAGTGGCAGACATTGCACGACCCACATGTGGGTCACATTGTCGTCAATGTGTTAATTACTTTCACCATTTTTTGCTTCATCTAAACAAAGATACGCGCAGCAAGCAATAATAGATCAGCACACTTACGATAGTAGCGTTTTTATGCTTTGGATTCCTGTTTATCAACTCAACAGCTTTGAAAAAGTTTACAAAAATCTCAGTGAACCACTGCCAAATCCAGAGTTTTTTGCTAATTTAGGTGTTACGAATCTCTGGAAAAAGTATCAAATCCCCGTTTTTTGCTAAGTTATCTAGCGGTAGTTTTTTGTTGACTGAAAACATAAAATAATATAAATAAAATATAATCTAGTGATAATTGTAACAAATAGAAGTAGTATTTGATTTTATGGTAGCCTGCCACAATATCCATGCACATAAATAGTACACTAGCAGATACTTACGTACTAGTCTATTATAAGTTGTCTACAATGAGAACATAATTAAATACTATTTACAGATCCAACTCCTACCTCTCGTGCCACCAATTCTGGTGTTTCTAGCCAAGCATCCAATCTGTGATCAGTACAATCTCTCATCAATAAAAGTTCTAATTTGCGGAGCCGCCCCGGCTGGCCGAGATATATGCGAGGAGTTGTCGAAAAAATATAAAAACATCAAGTACATTTCACAAGGTTAGCTATCAATTTTTGCAGTTGTCGATTTCAATCATCAGGTAATGGTTTTTGCGCTGATGCTATTATTTGACCGATCCCATGATACGTGATACGCCAGAAACAGCTGATCTCTTGTCTGGATCTCCCCTTCCCTCCAATATTTCCCCTTGTCTGACTGGTGCCGGAAAGCGCACCTGACGTGGGCTGGACTATTAGGTGGATGGTATCCGCACCTCCTCCAAGATCGTGGACCAGTCAGCGAAAATCTGCTAGTCTACTCTGCTAACCTAGAAAATGTGTAGAAAATGTCCTGTGAAGGTATTCTACCACTTTATGAAGCCACATGTCATCGTGGGTAAGTGCTAGAAACATGGTTAATTTCAGAAAAATATTTGAGACTAGTGAGTCTATGGAGAATTAAGATTTTGCAGTTATTTCAAGTGTGCAAAGCTAGAACGAAACAAAATTAGTGTCTTTGTTGTTCCGTTCCACAGTTTTTTGGTAAAAATAGGAAGCTGTTTGAACCAAAATTTGAAAATGATCCCTCCCCCCGTCCCTCGTCGCTCTCCTGCGAAACGTGCAACCTAATGATGTATAAAAGCAAAAAAATTTTTACATGACCAAAAAGAGAAAAATGGCTCACGTGTTTGACCATATCTGCTAGATCACTTGCTAATAGTACCGTTCATTTTCATGAGTTTAGGCTATGGCATGACAGAATGCACAATGGCATCCCATGTGCCGGATCTCAAAAATAATGTTCCTTTCGGAAGTGTAGGAAAAGTTGCTTCAAATTTACGAATGAAGGTAAAATTGTTGACTACGGTAGAACCATTTGATTAATTCATAGTTTGCAGATAATTGATCCTTCGACTGGGAAGGAAATGCCGGCAGGAATGCCTGGCGAGATCTGCATCAAGGGACCAACGGTTATGCTTGGCTATTTAGGCAAGCCAGATGCGACAAAAAGCACGATCATTAACGGTTGGCTGCATACAGGTAATATTCCAATAATTTAACTTTTTCTCTAAACTAGTACTTCTGCAAAAGGTACCATGTTGGCTCATTTATAAAGAGCAGTTTCTTTTTCACTAAACTTTTAAATTTACTGGCTCTGAAACAAGATCTTGCAACAATTTTCTGACGATAATATCATGCATTCATCTTTCAAGAGTTTTTGTTTATTCCCATAATTGAAAAAAGATATATAGAAGCAATTTTGCTAAGAATGCTACCCTTATAAAGACATAACAACTACCTTTTTATTCTCAAGAATTACGCAATTTTGGTAGCTTTCTGCATCGCATGGCGCAGTTCGCTGTGACTCATTTTACATTAAGTAAATATTACTGTAAATAACCGGTTAGCTATTTATTTTGTGAATGTAAAAATGCGATTGATTAGTTGAAAGTTTGATTATTGTACGGATGTTAGCACGGTGTCACAGTGTAATTTTATAGAGGTGTTGAATTTTTTTGAATTCAATTTGTTCAAAATTTCTCTTATTGTCAGTCTCTTTCCTTTGCCGAAAATAATGTTGCTATTGGTGTTCAAGCTAGTTAGCTCAAAAAAGTACTGCTCGTGATCCAGAAGCGTTGTAATATTACATCCTCAGTAAGAAGTTTGCTTACTACACTGCTTTTACCTCTCCGCAAAAGAATACGAAAAAGAGACCGCATGTGCGAGATTGTGAGCAGTGTAAGAACTCCGATTTTCCGTTTTTCAGGTGACATTGGCTATGTGGACGAATATAGAAATTTATTTATTGTCGATCGACTCAAGGAACTTATCAAAGTCAAGGGATTACAGGTTTGTCTACATAAAGATTACTTCAAATGTCTTCAAAAAAGGCTCACAGAGCAAAGTTGTCTGAAATATGTCGATGAAAAGCTTGTAGGAAATACTGCAAAAACAACTCGTTCCCTCTCAGAGTAAAGTGTCAAGGCTTTTCAAACAAACGTGAGAAATAACTTAGAATCAAAATTTTGACAAAACTGATTTTTTACACTTTTCTGCGTATCCGGAATTTTTACCTTTTCCTGGGAAGCACCTGCGTAGCATCTAATCGTCACCTCTTCTTCGTGTTTTCTACAAATATTTCGCGTGAGTTTGCGAAAAAATTAGTCTTTGATGTTGCGAAAAAAAAAGTCTTTGATGTTTGGCTCATAGCAGGGGCTATGAGCCAAACATCAAAGACTTTTCTTACGACCAAGCATTTTCTTATTACACTTACTCGACTGCAAACGTTTCACCACATGTGCGAATAAATAAAACCCCTACTGGTCACGTTTCAAGCGAAAGTGCATCGTCTATCAAGCGCACGCATTGACGCAACAGCGCACGCTCTTGTCAAAGCTCGACCTTTTTTCCCGCAACGATCAAAGGAGAATTGACTACCGACTGTGAACTTTGGCTATTCATAGCCAGCCCACATCAACAATCCACATCCACAATCCAGATGAATATTTCTTCCCTATTCTGAGAATTCGTCTATCAGACAGTTCAAAACGCTAGAAGTAATGTGTACAATTCATGGCAAACGCAAGAATAATTCAAGGCAATCAATTATTAATCCAAAAGTGGAAGCTAGTTCTACAGAATGATACCTTAAGAAAGGAGAAAGACATCAAAGAAGGACAGTTATCAATCATGAAACATAGGGTGCACTTTCTCGGGACACCATGTAATGACATAATTTTTCTTCAACTTAACTCTTAATGTTTTTCCTCTTATTTACAATTTTTTGCGAAATGATAAAGTTTTTCTGATGCGCAACTTCATCAGGCCTTAGGCATACTCGCGCAATATCAGTCGCTATGCGATTTGTCACTGCAGCGATTGCTTATACTCAGACAATCACAGGCTCTCAGCCGGCGGCAATAAAGGGCAGTTTCACCGAGCGGGCGGCGATACTGCAAAAGTGGCAGTGAGCGGGCGACGACACTGTAGGAATGGCGGTGAGCGGGCAGCGACGGGCTACCAGCGGGCAGCTATAATCTTCCATGAGTCAGAAAATAGCTGCAGAGCGCATTCATTCCTACAAAAGCAGCCAAAAGGCGACGATGAGGCAGCGACTCCGTTAAGCTGGCAGCGACCGTGAAACGATGGGGCTGCGAATACAAGATTTCTGTCAGCGGGCCGCATCAATGCTATGAGCAGGCAGCCTTAATTCATAACGCCGTATTGTGGCTGCCAACTGGATGCCATATCGTTGCCCGCTTGAGACATTGTTGATCGCACCAGAAAAGTTAAATGTGCAGGCAAAGAGATTGGCAGCGTGGGCTCGCGTCATTTTTTCATTTCTTGTTGCCTAATCTTTGTTTTCATCTTTGCTTTTCTTTGTTTTCATTTTCGTTATCATTCAGTGCTTCATTTCAAGTACTAGTGAGCCAGTACCTATAGGCCCCGGTCAGACTTCACGCGACTTAATTGTCGCGACCAAATCGCCAAGATTTCCATTCATTTTCATTTCACATTCAAAAATTTCGGTCTGGAAAAGTATCACAACCGAATGCAAGTTGATATGCATGGAATGATGTTGTAACAGTTGTGTCCTCGCGATTCAGTCGCGACGATCAAATCGCGTGAAGTCTGCCCGGGGCCATAGGCGCTATTTGGAAGAGCGTTTGCTTCGGGACTCGTCGTGGTTCCCCGCTATTTGAAGATTTTTGAATTGAGCCAACGATTCTTTATATATCAGATTTCTTTTGTTCTCTATGTTTGACTGTCTATCCAACCGGAAGAAGTGCTCAATGAAAGCCCCGTTTGTTTTTGAATCAAAACATCCACTGCACAATGTAATAAAAACTCTTTTTCAAACTCTCTCGAAAATCGTAAAAAACCATCTATTCACTCATTTTACGAATGTAAACATAAAAGTGCCTTTCTCTCAACATTTTCGCCGCTGTCACATCATTCGACTACAAGCGTGCTCTCTTTGCGCTCAAAGATCTGCATCATTGCGTTTCGCATGCGTCCATTTTCGAAATGCTTATTGATTAGAGGGCGTCGCTATGCTTTGCTACTTCAATCCTGCGTTTATAATTTTTTCGAGAAAAAACTCTCAGCCTCAGCGGATTACAGGCGAAAACATGACTTTTACGCAACGAACGACCATCACGGCTCACTCCACGCCAGCGTGTTGTACGCAAAGTTCATTGAGTGAGGAAGGATTGATTTGAGGTTTAGTCTGAGTGCCACACACAGCGTAAGTTGTTTTCGTCGCACGTGTTTCTACCGATCGGCCTTTTCAAAAAGTAAAATTCTCATTTCGAAGCCAAGTGCATTCATCGAAACACAGTGCGCACCTTTTCAATGACGTACCGTCGGTTCATTTCATATGATCATGTGTGCCATTGCACACACCGTCCATCTTTGGCGTACCCATCCTGGATTCTTGGAGGGCGCAACCCTTCCGTTAAGCGATTCTGATGTTTTCTCGCTGTTTTCTTTTCTTTTTAGGTACTATTTATCTCTAAATGATGTAAGCGATAGCAATTGCTCACTCTCTCGCGTTTTTGCGATCGCAAATCCGAGATGGGGACGCCAAAGATGGACGGTGTGTGCGGGTGCACACATGATCATATGAAATGAATCGACTGTACTTGTACAGTGAGCACATAAAAGGTTTACAGTTTTACGGAAAATTGTTTGGCACGCAGTCGTTCGTCAACGCAGCTATCGTCGATTCGTTGACCGTACGGACTGCTGAAGCGCTGCGGACCACATGCGGCGCGGTTAACATGTTGCGAGAGCACGAATCAATGGCGATCTTGTATTGGAGCAAGCGTTTTACCTCGCGGCGCGTGCTCCGCGGTTGTGTCCAGTCCGCGCAGTCAACGAATCGACGATAGTTATTTACAGTTGTGATGTGGAACTAGTTTCTGTCTCTTTTTATCGTCAAGGCTTGATAAAGTCTCCCTACCTCCTAGAAATGAAATTAGGGCTTTTCATACTTCCACTAATTGCTGTACCATATTTGTCTTGCGTTTCTCTCTGTCTAATGTGTCTTTGATGTATATCTATATATTTCCAACTACTCTCTCTTTTGCAGGCATTTCATGATGTTTGTAATCGTAGTCAATTACAGCTTCTCTTACGAGGGAAGGATACTTGGTGACCGTGGCCTTCTACAATGAGATGTATACCATTAGATGCGTCTTGGAACGCTGATTCTAAATCTATGTTCAGCATCTGCTGTGCGATTCCCTAAACGAAGTTATGAACTTTTTTCCATAGTGACTTTGCGAGATTTAGGCAGTCAAAATCGTCAGTATCAAGGCTTCTAAGGCTCTGATGTATCGGTGACAATTTACCCGAGCTTAACGTGAAACTTTACTTTATCTGTACGCTCTTTTATAGTGCGTAAGCGAACATTCTAACGATATTGGTGAATCTTGCATCAAAAACAGTGCAAATTTTGGTGACAAGAAATGTCCACAACTTCTTTCGGAAGAGCGCACAGCAGATAATGAAAACAGATTTGGAATCAGCGCTTCAAGATGCATTTAATGATGTACGTTTCATTCCAAAAGGCCACGGTTACCAAGTATCCTTTCCCTGTTAGACGCTGCAGTCACCGACGAAGACGCACACAATTCCAGAGGAAGTGTTGCACAACATAAAGAAAATGGGTTTGGATCAGAACTGACAGTTGCCTGAACGATACTCAAGCGCGAATGGATTGTTGATTCGCATGAGAAACCCCTGCATTGCGCGCTAACACTGGCAGTTCCTCACTCATGTTTGTGAATATATTTATCGCGGTGGAATGTGTATTGCTTTGTCGCCGCTCCCCATATGGATTCGTTTTATCAATGTTTGTACCCTCAAGGTCTATTATCAGCATATTTTCTGTTCTAAAGAACGTAAATTCTTGCGTGTGTATCACTGCGTACTTGCGTACTCATCCACTTAACTGTTACTTGCCATTTCATTAGTTATAACCTTTATCCAGAGTTTACAAACGTGGCCGTACATAGTCGTAGTATACGATCTAAGCTAACCTCTAAGCTTTTGGGCTACGGACACTTCCTATCTTTAGGAAAGCGGGAAGCGGCAGTGAGGCGATAAGGCACGGAGCTTTTGATGGGTTTTCGCGGTGGCTTTGTGGCTGCCGGCTGAAAATCTTGTCTGTGTAGCTTCTTGTTATGCTTGGACTACAACGTTGTAACTTCAATTAATTCGTTATAACGATGGCAAGTAACAATGAAGAACATAACCATCTGGGGCCATATCTATTTCTGCATGTGGTCATATCTCCAGATGGTTATGTTCTTCATTGTTACTTGCCATCGTTATAATGAATTAATTGAAGTTACAATGTTGTAGTCCAAGCATAACAAGGAGCTACACAGACAAGATTTTCAGCCGGCAGCCACAAAGCCACCGCGAAAACCCACCAAAAGCGCCGTGGCCTTATCGCCTCACTGCCGCTTCCCGCTGAGAACTGTAGAAGCGAGCGGGCTACAAATATGGCAATGAGCGGGAGGCTAAAGCTGGCAGCGGGCGGACTGCTATGAGGGCTTCAGCGGGAAGCGAAAGTGGCCGCGATGAGGCCACCGCGCTTTTGGTGGGTTTTCGCGGTGGCTTTGTGGCCGCCGGCTGAGAGCCTGTGATTGTCTGAGTAAATGGTCCTGAGCGCGCTTTGCCTTGTGCCAGCATCTGATGCTTTTGTTGCGAGTTTAAGAAGCTACGCGCCTATTTCCAGACGGGCGCACTGTTAATCTATAAATATCTGGCAAACCGCCAAGTCGCCTGGACGTAGCGATTTGGTGGAATCGCTAGTGGTACGCCTTAGGCTTTAGTGAATCGTGCGTCAAGTAGTGAGCCCTTTGAAGAGGGACAGCTACTATTCTTAAATTGTTTTATATCCTCGCTTGGTAGATCAAATTTTACCGAACGTCATGGCCACAAATTTAGCTGTCGAGTTGCCCCAACAATTCGCTCCATTACAAACTCTTACTTACGCTCACGCACATTCTTACTACACTTGCACCACTGCAAACCCCTCATCACATGAATAAATAAAACTAACAGTCACGCTTTATGCGAAAGTGCATCGTCCATCAAGTGCAAGCGTTGACGCAACGCTCTGTCAAAAAAAACTCGTCTTTTTTCCCGCAAAAATTAGAAAACGGGGGAGTTGGCTATTGACTGTGAACTTTGCTATCCATAGCACACATCAACAATCCATGTGTAAAGTACTTCAAATAAATAGTCCTTCCATGAAGGCTGAGCACGAGTGGCTATTCCGAGAACTCGCCTATACGGTCCAGAGAGTTAAAATTAATATATACGCCTATCAGACAGTTTAAAGAGTTAAAATTGATATATACAACTCTTGGCAAACGCAAGAATTTATCCAAAGCAAATTAGCCAGATGTTCTGTTCGGCCAAATCGATACCCCAAAAAAGTAACTGAGAGGAAACAATGTAGCACCCATTCTATGGAAATGCAGCTATTTCAGTTGCAGTGTCGGGTGTACAGTGGCTCCTGTCCAGCGCCGCTGTCTCGCTTGAGCTTGCAACGAGTTCGCGGACGTGATCCCTAATCGTTCTCCCACGCCTAAAAGATTAAAACGCGATTCTGTGTCTTCCTTTTAGTCATGGGGAAATGACCAGAAGACGAGCTTGCGAACGCCGCGCAGGCTCTAGGCGAGGCTGCCGCGCAACACCCAAACTGCCTTGCACCCGACACTGCAAATAAGATAGCCTGTATTCATGTGGTGAGAGACAAAATCATAGACTTCGCGCTAGGACTGTGCAATCGCACATATGACTTAGAGGTCTTTTTATAAATGCTCATTAAGGTTGCACCTGCCGAGCTGGAAGATCTGCTTTTGGCACATCCTTTAATTCGTGATGCTGCAGTTATCGGAATACCTGATAAACGTTCTGGTGAATTACCGCGTGCATTCGTCGTTCGAGCATCAGATAGCTTGACTGAAGAAGATGTAAAAGCCTGGATCAAAGGTATATATTCTAGTTTAGAAGATTTCACCGAAAAATTATGTTCTTTTCAGACAAAGTGTCTTCGCATAAACAACTTGCTGGAGGAGTAGAATTCTTGCGAGAGATTCCGAAATCACCTGCTGGAAAAATTTTGCGAAGAGTGTTACGCGATCGTGTTCCGTCAAAACTTTAAATAATGCTAGCGAAAACATGCTAACAATCAGAATACAGAGTATTCTCCGCTAGAGTAGTTTTAAGCGAAATTCTAACTATAACAGCTCTTTATTTGTATCATATCAGATAAAAGCAGAACTCATCATTTGTTGCTTACCTTATCATACATTCCTTGTCAAGTTTCTTTTCATTTTTCGAAAACATGTTGACCTGCCTTTCTGCTATATCGTGTTACTGTGAATTATTCGATACGCACTCTTTGTGACTCGAATCTGAAATGATTCTAATGCGAATAAATATTTATATGCTATGTTATTTACGGCCGTAGATCCAAGTAACACGTTTTCAAATCATTGCTTCATAGCCGCATGGACTGTATCATCTGTCATTCGGCAAAAGTCGGTATACTAACAAAAAATTTTTAGAGCTTGAACTAAATCACAATAACTAAATAAAAGTAAGACTCTTTGATGCTTCCACTTTGAGGCGTCTAGTTTCTATCAGGGAAAGATTTTTCAAGGTCAAATTTCCACGAAAACCCGCCACAATTCCAAAATTCTATTTTTTTTTCATTCTTTATACTACACGTCATAGAAAAACATAATTTCGATTGGAAGAAGGGATAAAACACGGAAATGAGCAAGTCCTGACACTCCACTTCGAGCGCTACTTTTGCGGAGAAGTTTCAAGTTAGTGCTCCACCCTAAAAGTGAAGGCGATCGGATTTTATATGTTTCACTTTATTAATATTAGGTCGGTCAAAAGTTCTTTCCGTTTTTCAACCTGTCATAAAAACACGCGGAATTACAGGCAAATGCTTCAGAGATTATTAGATGCAGTTTTTCTTCCTCTTTCCAACAGACAATTTTCTAGACCATTTACATCAGTGGTTTCTGAGATAATTGCCGAACTTTCAAACTCATCGGTTTTACCATGCCCGTTTGGCAATTTTTCAAAATCTTCATTGTGAACATTTGGAAAAGCTTTGATAGCTGTTAGGTAACGTAAACAAAGTGCAATTCAATGCAATTTTCTCGCATCTTTAATCAGCTTCTTATTGTTAGTATTTTTTTAGGATAACTTTCCCAAAAGTCTTCAAATTTACGAAGTCGCGAAATATACAAAGGCTCTAAATACTAACAAATTGTCGGAATTGATACTTACAAAGTTCGATTATGGTTATACACTAACTTTACAAAACAATAGAGCGTTTGCGCTTCGAAATATCAAAATTGACATTTTGCGGATACAGTCTAGGGCGGGTTCCAAAACAGAATTACGATAATTTTATCGGCGAAGATTCCACGAACTAAAAAGAGAAAAGCTCTCAAGAAAGAGAAAAAGCTACCTTGAATGGCACATTAGTTGTGCGCCGTTTGATGTTCTGTAAGCGTTGGGATGACCAAAAGTGGAATTTGATAGTATCAGAAAAATAACTTTGAAAAATTTTAAAAGCCAGGTGCAGCTGCCAAAAAGTTTTTATAACAGGTTGAAAAACGGAAAGAACTTTTGAACCGACCCAGTATTTCCAAACTGAGAGCTAGAAAATCGTGGTGAACGGGAGTAAATAAGACAAAAACAGCCTAGACCAAGAATAAAAGGTGGTGCGAGCTTGACTTTGTTTTGTGGAGATCAACTCTTCCTTTCGAATAAGATGTCGAAACCTTACCAGCACAATCAAAATCAGCTTCAAACGCAAGAAAGATACAGCTTCTGAAACAAGGAGTTTCTTACTTACTTAATTACTTTGTAGCGCATCAGCTGGGACTGCTGATGCGGAGGGCGTCTGGCGTGTAGCAGAAAAATGTAGGAAAAAACACTTTATCCGGACAAGGGCGGAACAGAATGATAATTAAAGAACAAAAACAACTAGCCGGCGGCCTTTTATAGCCGCGCGGGTACAAAGTACAAACATAATCTACAATAAAACAGTAATCGCAACGACACAAACCTACTCAATGCTAACAAATATCTTTTATTTCTCATAACTATCCTATATTTCCTTCACATGCCTCCCCGACGAGTAGAGTTGTCCCGACGATGCCCATGCGTGTGATGCGAGTGCGCGGAAGAATGTCGGCTGGGTGATCTATGGTGGCGGCTAGGAGAGTTCGACCTTTGGTTCGGGGCTTGGGATGGATCTTGAAACGTGATCAGTGCTCGATGACGCCTTCTCTGCGGATCGGCAATCACCCAAAAATTGGGCATATACTCTTCATTGCGGCGCCGCGCCTTCAGTATCTTCTCTCGCCTTCGTTGCTCGCGTAGCTCTGGTGTTGCGGGCTCGAATTTTGGCAGCCTAATGAGGTCATTCACGGTAATCCTGACTTTCTCGAGGAAACGTCAATATTTGGGGTCCAATGAAGGGCGCACCACTGCGTCTCGGGGTTGACTCCTAGGCAACAGGCTGGATGTGTATACGGCGCATGATCCAGTAAGCCAGAGTAATGATCGCGAGTCACAGCCAAGAAGTTGCGGGATGGACCCGTTAAGAATCGTACAAACTCGCGGCACACTTCGCCCACCCTTCTCCATTCTTCGGCATTCCGATCCTCATAGGGGCTTGGGAAAAACGCAAGTGTTCCTCCGTCTTGGAGGTGTCTCTCGATGCTGATTAACAGCTGCCTCATCTGCCTGCATTCAGGTGAGTTGTCCGGCCATACGATGACTACTGCTTTCATAATCTCGCGGGTGGTCAACAGCTTGTTGGCAAGAGTTCCGAAGTCTCGATAAACATATAAGATAACGTTATCCTCGTAGCCATTTCAGAATCCAATCTTACGAACGAAGGTGGGAGTGCAATGAACGTATGGTGATCCATGTGATGGTTCAACAGCGGCATCTCGATCTGACCCAACATCATGATGGCTCCCGCTAGGATGTCCCCTATGGGATATTCGCATGGCCATGGGTAGATTGTGGGGTGGTCGTACTTCATTCCCCTTGCCTCCTCTCTTTTGGCATACAAAGGACATCGACGTCGATGAGCGTCCATCGCTACAGCGAGTCCATATGGCGAAAGGTACTGCGAGTGTTCCGTCTAAGTTCTCGCTCTTTCCTTTCGTCCGACCAACATTCCTGCTCGGAGATGCTCGCGATATTAGCCAGTTCAAATATGTCGTTCACTGTCTTGGCCCTTGCAAGCGGATGAAACCAGGTATCGCTATATGCGCCATTTGACCGAATAGACCGCAACTGCAGCGAAATCTCAGATTCAGGCGGTCGTTGGAGGCCAGCAGAGTCCTGAAAAGAGAGATTTTGTTGCATTGAACTTCTTGCGTCTTGTTTTTCTTAGGACGCCCTCTTTTACCCCTGCTTTTTCTTGTTAGCAATGGCTCGTCGGAGATACCCCGGGGTAGTTTCCTAAGCAAGTCAAATGGTACCCTCACTGGTCCTTTATTCTGGCCGATCATCGTAATTAGGGCGCTACTTTCACTGGCCTCTATAACTCGGTAGGGTCCTTCCCAGGGATTCGCTAATTTGGGATGGCTTGAAGACTGTTACTTGCTGGGGATTCGCATGTAGACGCGGTCGCCTATCTTGGGGGTGCAGGACAACTCTCCACTCCCTTCTCACGGTTGCTTTCATACGCTCTCTCATCTTATCGTTTACCCTGCGAGCGTATCCACGCGCAATTTGCGTCCTTACAGCGATCTCTTGGGCATAGCTATCTATGTCCACTGCGTATCTGCGGGCTTCAGGTTCCAAATCCCACGGGACATGCGCGTCGAAACCGTGTAAAAGGAAAAATGGGGACTCTCCAGTGGACTCATGCACTGTGGTATTGTACGCAAACACACAGGCGGGTAAGATTTTATCCCATTCCACTGCGATGGAGACCTTTTTCCTCAACATCGAGATGATAGTCTGATTAAACCTTTCAGTAAGGCCATTTTCGCAAGGGTTGTACCCTTTTGTGAAACTTTGTTCAAATCCCATCAACTTCTGTAGCTCTTCCATTAGCTTGTTTTCGAACTCCCCTCCCTGATCTGAGAGGAGACACTTGGGCTGGCGTCCACCTTCTACCACCCATCGTTCAAAAAACACTCAAGCTATCACTGGTGCAGCTTTGGATGGTACAGCATAGGCACCAGCGAACTTTGAGAAATGTCGACTACGGTCAGAATGTAGCGGTTCCCTTCTGTGGTGATACCCATTTCCAAAATGTCTATACTCACTACCTCAAATGGCCTGGTGGTCACAATTGGACGTAGTGGTGGGACCGTTGCTTGCTGGGGGTTGTGACACAGGCATTCTCGACATTCCTCTGCCCAGCGCCAGATGTCCCTTCTCATAGATTCCCAGAAGGATCTCTTGGATAGCTCACGCCACATCTTCTTGGCTCCGAAATGTCCCGCTAACACTCCGTAATGGGCCTCTTCAAAGAGTTTCTTTCTCTGGGAGGGTGGTACCACCTTCCGCAAGCGGTCTTTATCCACCAGCATAAGGTGACCTCCGCTCGTGATGAAGTCAGCCACCTTGTACCTCAGCGATGATCCTGGAAATTCCACTTTTCCATCCACTTCGTCCTTTTCCAATCCTTCTAGGATTTTCTGCTAGACTGGTTCTTCACGAAGCTCTTTTGTCCATGCCGCTTCTTCCATTGCAGATGCGACGATCTGCTCCCCTGGCATTGTATCGTCAACCTCCGTACAGCATTCCATCTCACGTGTCGCACCACGGCTCAAGGCATACGCTACTCGATTTGCCGCTCCTTTCAGGTAGACAATCTTCAGATCGTACTTCTGAAGCTCAAGTGCCCACCGCAGGACTCGATCAGAAACATTGGTGCGCTTGAAAATTGATGTAAGTGGTGATCCGTACATACCTCTACCGGAAGCCCGTAGACAAACATGTGGAATTTACGCAAAGCGAATACCTCTCTAAAACCTCGAAGTCCGTCACGTGGTACCTCTTTTCGCAGCTGGATAGTCCCCTTGTGGCAACTCGGTGGGCTCTTGCACCTAGATGTAACCCGAGGCCTGACGCTCGCCCGATACTAAGCGACGTACCTAGCCTACTGCGCACCTAACGCGCGACCAAAGGAACTGAGATAATTTAAGTGATTTATCCTTATGGCACTACACTACAATTAAAAATAGACAGAAATACTAAACTAAAAACAAATTACTACACTACTACTAAAGAAACACGGGACGAGGGCCCGTCCTATGCTACCGATGCGCGTCTGCAAGCATTCTTAAAAATACATGAGGCTCCCGAGGTTTCGCGCAACAAATCCACCGCGCAACGCCAAGGTCTGAGACGACGGCACGTCCGCTCCAGCTCCTGTAGATGATTTCCAACTTTGCACGCAAGTCCGATTACTTTACGGCGCGTCGAATTGCGCTAACAAAAGGAATCTGTTTTCCAATCCAAAGAACTTCCGGCGCAGCTGCTCTTACAAAAAAGGACAGGAGCAAGGCGGCTGAAATGATATTCGAACAAGAAATGAGATCAATCAATAAAAACGAAGGCGGACAAGGCATCCAAGTGAGGCGCCGCCGCTTTATATAGCCGCCTGGCTGGCAACGCAATAAAGGAGGAGTCCGGAGACGATCGCGGCAACACGCGTCTCGGCTACCGTAATCGTCGTCAGATAGCGCGGTAACCGATGCCCCGGCCTTCGTACTTCGAGGAGCGCCTTGCATCGTCAAACGCGACACCATTAGATGCGAAGGAGATCGGATGCAGCAGACCGGGTGCGGGAAGTTTCTCACCCGAGCCATATTCTCGCACCTAAGTGATGTGCCTGCCGGGCACATCCGAGCTCGCTACAGTTACGAGCTCCTCAGGAGACCAAGACATCGCAAGCTCCGCCCCCTCATTTAGTTTTCGCTCCAGATGATGAAACCGAAATTTCAAAGAAACATTAAAAATCGAAGTTCAGAAATGAATTTGCTCCAATCAAGACCAAATTTCGGATTTGGGGGTTTTCGAAGTTGCTCTTTTCAGTAGTGTGATTTGTTTGTTGCAAAGTCGACGATCAGCACCAGTGATGCTTAACTCAGATTAAAATTTGGATTTAAAGGTTTTCGATTTTCTATTTCAATACAAGACCAAAACTCAGGTTTTGAGGGTTCTCGAAATTGTTTTTTCGATAATGGTATATGTTTTGTGCAATATCAATAGGATTTGTTGTTTGGACAATTTTTTGGAGAAAAAAATGTTTTTTTCACAAAAACCGGATTACTTTCATAGAATTGTGCCAGATGCAGGAACACGTATGTAATTCCGTAGTGTTTTCTTCTCCTGACTTCATTCTCAAGAATATGTTAAGGTACAGCGCTTGTAATAACCCAACCAAGTATTTCTTGAAACCTGATATAGCACAGGTCACTGAGGTCATCAAGGCTGGCTCAATGCCAGAAAGCTTCATAGTAGACGTGGAAAGCTCGGAGTAGTGTCAAACAATAGAGAAAAACATCTTTATTATTTTGGAAACATTCAAATTCAAATTTGTTCCGGTTTATAGGATAATTTCAGTATTTTAAGACTCAGTAAATTACATGGAAAAGCGCGAAAAATGTAGCGCTCAAAAGCGACTGGAAGAATAAAACATCACCGAAAAATGGTTTACTGCAAAAATTTAGTATTTTGTTGGTTATTTATTCATTTTCAAAAATTAGAATCAATTTTTTGAAAAAATTACTGCTTCTACAACCTTCCAACGCAGAATTACTAAATTGGGTCTAAATTTTATATAAATCCATGCCACGGATAATTTTTCATTTGTCCATTCATAAATATTCGAGAGCCCTTAAACCTGAGTTTTGGTCTTGTATTGAAACTGAAAATTGAAAACCTCTAAATCCAAATTTTAATCTTGGTTAAGCATCACCGGTGCTGATCGTCGACTTTGCAACAAACAAATCACACTACTGGAAAGAGCAACCTTGAAAACCCCTAAATCCGAAATTTGGTCTTGAGTGGAGCAAATTCATTTCTGAACTTTGATTTTTAAAGTTTCTTTGAAATTCCGGTTTCATCATCTGGAGCGAAAACTGAGGGGGCGGGGCTTGCGATGTCTTGGTCTCCTAAGGAGCTCGTAACTGTAGCGAGCTCGGATGTGCCTGGCAGGCATATCACTTAGGTGCGAGAATATGGCTCGGGTGAGAAACTTCCGCTCCCCCCCCCCCCCAGCAGACCATCTTCTCCTTCCTAGCTCAGCACTGCCCCCAGACCTTGGGAGGACCTTGAGTACTCGCGTCCGTGTGGATTTTGAAAGGTTTCTTTTCTTCCCTTGCTCCTTCAATGTCCGGTTGCGCAAGCACCGGAGCTTCGGTGATTACCTTTTTTAGGTGTTGAAAGCTCACCTTTCTTTCCTTAGTCCACTCAAACTTCTTCTTCTCCGAAGTAAGTTCATGCAGAGGACCCGCTATCTTCTCAAACCCCAACACGAACTTTCTGTAGTAGGAACACATCCCCAGAACGTTCGGAGATTAGACCGCGACTTTGGTAAAGGATACTTCCGTATCGCTTCCGTCTTAGCTGGGTCCATGTGCAGGCCGTCTTGATCAATCGCATGACAAAGAAATTCTACTTTTCTTTCGAAAAGTACGCACTTCCGTGGATTCAGTCTAAGCCCGGCGATCTCCAATTTTTCAAAGACCTCATCGAGCAACCAGACAGATGTCTCGCGGCTGAATCCGTGGCGATAATAAGCTGATAGCCCGAACGGCAGTACTCGAAACTGGAAAAGGCCTCGGTGGTAACAAAAGCAGATTTTTGTTTTGCATCTTCTGACAAGCTTATCTGCCAGTATCCCGAAGACAAATCGAGAGTTGAAAAGAACGCTTTTCCTTTCAGGCTTTGTAGAATCGAATCGATGGATGGTAGTGCGTAACTATCTACTCTGGTGACTTTTTTCACTTTTCGATAGTCCACACATAACCTCAACGATCCATCTTTCTTTCGCACCAACACGATAGGCGAGGCCCAGCTTGATCTGCTCGGCTCGATTACCTTTCGTGTCTGCAGATCATTGAAAATGCGCCTGAGCTCCACTCGAGTTGCCAAGAGTACTGGCCTTGGCTTCTGCTTTATTGGCAATGCATCTCCTGTCTCAATATCGTGCTCTACCAGGTTTGTCTGCGACAACTCCTGATCGGTGACCGCGAATCCCTTCGCATGGCGTATCACCAAATTCCGGATGTTTTCCTCAAGGTTGCCGCTCGCCTTGCTCTTCTCCAAAAGCTTTACAAGGCGCTATTCTCCATCCTGTATTCGAGAATTTGTCCTCTCCAGCATGTTATGGTAAGTGACAGGTTGCTGCTCCACTAAATCCGTTTGGTTCAAACGTTCCTATCTCTTCCCTCTCTCGGGAGAGCTTGGCTCCTGACAAGTTATTAGTCACTGGAACGCTCATGGAGTTGCTGTCATTGCCCCAAACCATATCAGGAATCATTCCACATTTTGACCAGCAAATTCCCTCCTTTGGGCTGCCTTTGCGGCTGACAGGCAACATCTTTGTTTTACCTGGTCCCACATATACTCGTTCCGTGGTAATGACAATGTTCCGTTGCTGTTTTCTCGTACTCCTTTTTAGCGATTCTGCCGTCTTAAGTACATCTGTCTCCGTCTCCTCGTCTTTAACACCGCCTCTCGTGTTGGCCACGGAGAATCCCAACTTTGCCAATGTATTCGTACCTAGGACGATCATGCCATCCGCTCTCGCTATCACAAACAGTGCTATTTTCTGCTTCACACCGTCTTCTAGCTCGATAGCGAGCCTAACTGCCCCCTTGAACTTCATTCTATTACCTGACGCATCGTAAACCGGCGCCAGGTGATCTATCTCTATCTTCTCGACATTGCCATCTAAATCAAATCCGCTATCACGGCTTGCCATAAGCATCTGTAATGGGATGATGCTCACTTGGGAGCCCGTGTCTATAAGCGCCCTCCGCGGTAAGCCTAGCAGACGAACATCCGTGATCACCTGCCCTCCTACAAACTCGTGTACGGTTGGTGCTGTTGAGAGAGCACTGCAGATTATACTTGGGTTATTCGAAAATTTTTCATCGAATGAATGAATATCGAATATTCGAAAAGGAAAAATTTCGAATAAACGAATATCGAAAAGATTCAAGGTTCAAAAATTCTCGAATAAATGAATTTCGAATAAATTCGGAAAATCATAAATATCGAATGAATGAATATTGAATATACTCGAACATTGGAAGTCGAATTTCGAATAAATATTTGAATGATTTATCGAATAACTAGAGCAACCATATCTCAGACTTGCCGACATATCTGGCCAAAGCCGATCCATTGATAATCACACCCCCGTATCCCCTATACCAACTCCTAGCTCAAAATTTTCCAAAAAATGCTGAAATCGATAAAAACAGATTTCGGTTTCAATCAGCATCCTCATTTACCCCTGTATTAACTCCCAATCTCGTAGCTCAAGATTTTCCAAAAATCGACAAAATCGATAAAGTAAATTTTTATTCATAATCAGCACCCTTCAAGAAGATTATCCTCGCACGCATAACTAGGACACTGAATGAAGCCCAACCCCAAGAACAAGCTGGATTCCGCAAGGGATTGAGCTGCATGGACCATATCCAGACGGTTTCGAGAGTCATAGAGGTCTGACAGGAGTACCGACTGCCTCTCGTCCTAACCTTCGTCGACTACGGGAAAGCCTTCGACAGCGTCGAAACCACCGCCATCCTGTCAGCGCTAGTCGATCAAGGAGTGGACCCAGCCTAGGTGAGGAAACTAGCCAGTTGCTAAAAGGACTGTACAACAATGATGCAGCTGTTCCATCGCCCCCTGACCATTCCAATCGGGAAGGGGGTCCGACAAGGCGACACAGTTTCGCCGAAGCTGTTCACCGCGGCCTTGCAGTGGGTGATGAAGTCACTAGACTGGGACGAGAGAGGTATACAAGTTGATGGGAGATTCCTGTATAACCTTCGTTTTGCGGACGACATCGTTTTCTTCTCGAACAGTATCACCGAAGCAGAGACGATGCTGAAGGAAATAAACGAAGTAGGGAAGAAGATCGGATTGCGAATAAATCGGAAGAAGACTCAGTTCATGAAGAACGCCCTTTGCGAAGATGCAGAAATGGAACAGGAAGGCAGCCTTATTATGGAGACGACGTTCGATGAACAGAACGACTTGAGAGAAGAACTTAGCAGGAGAAGAAGAGCAGCCTGGGCAGCCTTCGGGCCTTTGAAGGAAGCCACCGACCAACTGACGGACCTGAAGCTTCGTGTCCACCTGTTCGACTCAACCCGGCATTCTTCCGGCGCTCTGTTACGCAGCTGAGACTTGGGCTGACACAGTAGCCACGTCGAAAGCCTTACGGACCACCCACAGAGCGCTCTAGCGCACTCTTTTGAAGATGACCCGACACAAGCAACATCTAGTCGGATTTCGCAGTACGGATATGAGAAGAATGTCCCGTCTTCGTGACCCAGCGGAATACGTTGCGAAAGCGAAGCACCGATGGGCCGGTCACACCATGAGAAGAACAGAGACAGATGGACACTTCGAACATCTGAGTGGATCGCAAAGCCAAACGTCCCCGAGGAAGACCACCAACGAGATGGGCAGGCGTGTTCGTGGAACGGATGGACCAGCTGAGAAATCAGCTGGATACGATTATCGCACCTGGAACTCGTGGACGCAGCCACCGACGGCAACCAAGAAGATCGTGGATGTCTGAAGCGAGGGACAGGGACAAACGGCAACTTCTGTGCTGAAGCCCGCACGCCACGTGAAGACGGGCCATCTAAGTATCTAAGTAAGTAAGTATCAGCACCCTCTCACTTACCCCCTTGTGCCAACTCCCAGCTCCGCAGCTCAAACTTCTTCAATTGATAAAATCGATAAAATCAATAAAGTAAACTTTTATCCGTAATCCATGAAGGTGCATTAGCCAGATTTAAGCGGTTGCGCGCTCGTGTAAGCGGCTGCACTTCGTGATCCTTGCGCATTATGCACCGTACGGGTAAGAAGCGCATTTGTACATCTTAATTCTGCGGCTTTGTTCGACAGCAGACCTTATTTGTCAGGCTTCCACTAGACAAAGACGTTTAGCAGAGTAACAGATCAGACTGGTTGGAGTTGAAATCTAAAAATGAGAAACATTGCAACTTGATGTAAGCACCTAACGAGCTATTCGGATTCATAGCGCTAGGTGTGCGATCCTTCAAAGCAGTAACGGCGGCCACATATGTACTTAAATGCCACAAATGCTACGATACATTGCCTGTTCATCGGAGACTTTGTTCGTCGTGTGTGGTATAAGCTAGTCGTGGACGAAGGCATGTGGTTTATTCCTCGAAGCGAGCACGAATGCCCCTATAGCTCCGGGCATACTGCAGGAATTTCAGTGGCGACGTGGTTTGGCAATAGTCAAATTGTCCAAAACCTATTCTAGAAGGCAGAATGCAGGACATTTATCTTTTTAGTAAGTTGTACACGCTAAACATTTGTGGTAAGCTGGCGTTACATTTAAAGACATCTCGTAGCTGGCATATCGCATATGACGATCTAAACCGTCTAATCCTCCACTACAACTGCGATGTCCTTTACTCAAAATACACCAATTCGCAAAAAATCTCTAACGTAGCGAATAGAGGCAGTTGTGCAATATAACTTAGGCGAGCAAGAGTGCTCACTAGTGTGGGCATTGCGTACCAAAGCATGAGCAATGCAAAGAAAGAAAAACAGGCATTTTAAAACACTTTAAATATATGAACTCGGAACATGAGCTTGAATTTGATAGCTTCTTTGCTGATTTGGTGCCAACAGCAGTGCAAACAATCTCATTGATCGAAAAAGCATCAATTAAAATCCACATATGATTTTTTATTGTCGCAAGCAATCGGAAGAATGCGACTCTCTATACAGTTCAAATGTCATAACAGTCGCAAAAGATGCATTACCGAGTTTTGCGAAAAAAACGCGGGCAAAGTGAACTTGATACTCAGCAGTTGGCTCGCAATAACTCAAATAATCTGAATACGGAGTTCATTCGAATATAAATTCGAATAAACATTCGAATAAAACATTCGAATAAAATCTATTCGAAACCCCGTTTTTTGATTGTTCGAGTTTTCGAATAATATTCGAATCCTCGTTTTTTTTTTGATTATTCGAGTTTTCGAATTTTATTCGAAACTCTGTTTATTGATTATTCGAGTTTCGAATTTTATTCGAATCCCCGTTTACTCAATTATTCGAGTTTCGATTATCATTCGAAAGTGGAAGAACTCCGAATATCGAATTTCGAATACGAATATAACCGCTAGTCGCTGCTGTTACCTGCTCCGTGGTCCGTCGTATCGCATTAGCTACTTCTTTGCTGCGTTCACATCTTTGGGCCAATGTCTTCACCGGCTCTGTTGAATTGTGGAAAGATTATGTGATGGAAGAAAAATATATGATTTTTTCTCTTTACAACCACTTCAGGTGGCTGTCCAGGTGGCTGGAAAGCCACCTAACTTCGGAAGAAGTTTGTCACGCCTTCAGTTCACATAAATTTTTTATAATTTTTCGCACATAGTCCTAATTCCCTATTGCCCATCTACACACCAATTTTGGTGTCATTTCATTTTTTCTTAAATGTCAACAAGGCTTTTGTTTATTTGATACAGGCTTTTTGAATTCGCGCGCTTAACCCACAAACCTGTTAAAACAGGAAATTTTTGTTTTTTGCAAAAATGGGATCGATAAGGCAGGAATGACAGTCTGCGTCCTCTATAGAAGATGAAAGGTGACATAAGAGGGAGAAGGTGATTGTGAGGGAGGCAAAGGGGGGGGGGGACTAGAGTTTCCGCTTGAACGATATCCCCCTTGCCTTTTATCCGAAAACGATATCCAGCTTGCCTCGCAAGCCACCTGTGCCGAGCCCTGGCTCTTGCGTGGCCTTTCTAGCATCCAGTTCGGCTAAACTGAACATTTTTTTTCATACGATTCTATGCGAATTTACGCAGTTTCGACTGTGCTGTGAGCCCCGCCCACTCTTGATAAAGCTCCACTATTTTCCGAATTCGACTTTTGAAACACTACCATACAGCCTTTATCTGACCTTCTCCATTCAGAATGTTACTAGTTAAATTTTATCAGGCCTCCATACATTGAGATGGGCTGTAGCAGATTTGAAATTACACACATTCCTACGAAACTATGCATTTTCGACTATGAACTGCAAGCTCCGCCCTCTTTCAATTCCTTTTATTCTCCCCGGAAGGAAAAAACTCACAGAGCGATAGCTGCAACTCCTAGGTGTACTAAACTGTGTGTTATAATGTTTATGTTAATTTAATGCTGTGCCATCATGTATGGATACTGTTGGAGTAGGGTTAAAAGTCGTTAAACGTTGGTTGGAGGTCTTCAATTATGTTCCGCGAACGAGTTTTTGCAAGGGCACAATTCAATATTTAACATAATAAAGACCTTTGGTAAACATCGTTCGATAGAGCAGCCTCTTAGTTTCTTAGCAGCTAAATGACACGCAAAAAAATCTTCTAAGTAAAGGTGAAAATGGCTATTAAACTTTGCAGAAATCCATGTCCATCCATTTAGCTGAAACCCAGCCACCGTAGTCTTACAAAAAAATGCTGTCTTGCAAATCAGATGTGTTCTCTGTGGTCAGCAGGCCAGATAACCTTTATGCACAAATTTTCTAAGGATATAACGTCAATTTTTTTTCTCGTTCTTCGCTCTTAACCCTCGCCTGTTTCGGCTAAAATATTGATGATCGGATTGACAAAAAACTCCATTCACAGTGGTCTTCAAACCCACTATTACGCAAATTCTAGTTACTTTGCACTAAAAAGCTTTACAGTGAGGTTTTAATCAGAATGATTCGGCTAAACGCGCAAGATT